GACAAAAGTTGCCTATGCAGGTCCACGTCGTCATATAGACCCTAATATACGGCTACATATGGTATTTTTAAGATTTTTAAAAGAATTTTTAACGGATTTTATTTTTTTTTTTTGAAAATTGCAAAATTTGTACCAAATGGTGGAGGGTATTCAAAGTTCGTCCCGGCCGAACTAACATCTTTTTTACTTGTTAATTTGAAAATTCGTTCGAAATGGTGTTTTTAGTTGTTTTGATGACATATCGTTAATCTTTTATTATTATTAGCGGATAACTTTAGACATGTTTTAGGTCTAATCTCCGCCAAAAACATTTAAAACAAAAAACACTTTCACCTTCAAAAAAATGTTGAAGGCGTTACGCCAAAAAAATGTCGGTTTCAAGATATTTAGAATATTTTGTTGTTGCAAAATGGTGGAATATACCAAAAAATGTCATTCTACTTCGTACCTCTTCTATAAAATATAGACCGAATTCGAATATCGAATATGCTTATTTCGTATTTTATGATAGTTTTGGTTATTAAAAAATTTTACTCGTTGTGAGGGAGGAAATATTGAGATGTGTCAATTTTGAATGGAATCGGATATTGATTTAGCGTTTCATGAGCTTCTTCGATATTTAAAATTTTAACCCTATGTGGAGAGGTATTTGATGGAGTTAACCGATATCCATTTTCGCACCTGACCTTAGGACTGATGAAAATATTTTGTGCAGCAAAATATTTTTTTTTTTTTTTTTTTGAAAATTTCGACCTCTTTTGAGGGAGGTAACAGAAGGAGTGGAGCGATATTGCCCATCTCCGAGCTTGATCTAAGTTTAATAATAATATTACGATGTACCGAGTTTGGATTAAATCGGACACTCCCTTCTAGAGTTATCGTGCTCACAAGTCAGCCAGACAGAGAGACTAACGGACGGACATCGCTAGATCGACTCCAAATATCCTGAAATGGATTGGGTCCAGTGATGAGACACGTTTTGGCCGTATCAAATGATATATACCCTCTCTAGCCATATGGCTGAGGGTATAATCTCTCTCAATCTGGTACGCACGATAACTCTAGAAGGGAGTATCCGATTTAATCCAAACTTGGTACATAGTAATATTATTATAAAACTTAAATCAAGCTCGGAGATGGGCAATATCGCTCCACCCCTTCCGTTACCTCCCCCACAAGAGGTCGATTTTTTCAAAAAAAAAAAGAATAAAAATTGCTGCACAAAAAGAGAAAGCATAGGCAAATCCTAATATTTGCACCAGTCCTAGGTCAATCTCTTTAAAAATCAGTGGGGAGGTTATTTCAATTTTCACTGATGACCCAATTTAAGACAATAAGAGATTTTTAAGGAAGGAACACCATAATGATAATTTTTAAAAATCAGTTGCCTATTTTTTAATATATTGATAAGGTTTCGGTCTATCTCAGATAGGAAGGCTTAATTGTCATCCAATTTTAACACCTCGAAATATACATTGTAGACCCCACAAAGTATATTCTTGATCAGCATAAAATTCTATGTCGACTTGGCGATCGACCGTACGTTTGTCCGTCTGTGGAAATCACTCTGGCTTCCGAACGAAATGAAGAGGTTGATAAAATTTTACTCAGATGTTTATTATGTCTGCAGGACTTTTGGTATTGAAAATGGACCATGTAGGCCCACGTTTTGGTATTTCGATGATTTTAGCGACATTATTCACCGAAATTGTTTTAAGTTTGGTATTTGATGTTCGTAATGAATACTACAGCATAAGGCAAAAATTTGTCGGTGCAGGTCCACGTCTTCATATAGCCCCCATATAACGGTACCTCCCAAAATTCGGTTTTTTGATGATTTTAGCGTCATTATTCACCGGAATTGTTTCAATTTACGTATTTAGAGTTCGTAATGGGAACTACAGTCTGTGACAGGAATTTACCTATGCAGGTCCAGGTCTTCGTTTAGGCCCCATATATCAGTACCTCCCTATATTCGGTATTTTGACGAGTTTAGGTACAATACCCACCGAAATTGTTTGAGATATCGTATTTAACGTTAGTAATGAATGCTATAGCACAGCTCAGATATATATACGATATTTTGATGATATACGATATTTTGATGATTTTAGCTACATTATTCACCGTTATTTCCAGTTTTGAATTTTCATATGGTAATTGCTAATGGCAAACAATGCCTATATAGGTCCACGTCGTATTGACCCCAAAATAACGGCTATATTCGGTATTTTTAAAATTTTAACAGAATGTTTTAAGGATTTTATTTTTTGAAAATTTTCAAATTCGTTCCAAATGGTGGAGGGCATTCAAAGTTCGGTCCGGCCGACCTTACTACTTTTTAACTTGTTTTACTTGTTTTTGTTTATATACGGAGTTGCAGTTGCCTCTTCTTTTCTAAAATTTGAACACTTTCTGATTTTCAAAGTAATGTCGCTATATTTCTTAGCATTGTTGAAGCGTACACACAAGCCTATTCATACTGCGGCACTAGTTGAAGAAAAAACCTCAGATTGCGGACCCTTTACATTGAAGTATTTGTTTCAGATGTAGGGAGGTGGGGATGGTAATATCGGTCCACTCTTTCTGATAGCATCTCCACTTATCAACGAATATTAATTTTTAGTTCCCAAAAAATGCTATATCCCGGGGTTTTCTTCAAACTTCGTACATTACAACATTTCGAACAACATTGGATTTTCAACAAGTAAAAAAGCAGTAAGTTCGGCCGGGCCGAAATTTGAATACCTTCTGTTAAAATCTTAAAAATACAAAATATCGGAAGGTGCAGATATATTGGGGGGATAAACGATATTGTGGACTTATATAGACAAATCTATGTCTGGGGGTGAAGTACTCACAAGAATTTCAGACAATTCCCTTAAAAAATGTGGCTAAAATCATTAAAATATCGAATATCGGGGGTTCCGTTTATAGGGGCTATACGATATCGTGGACCTATACAGACAATTCTCTTTCAGGGGGTAAAGTACTCACAAGGAACTCCTTGTGGTATATATCGGTCTACTCCTTCTGGCACCTTCCCCACAAAGTGTCAAAATTTTTAATATCCATGAAGATCAAAAAACGCGAAATGAACATCCGATTCCATTCAGACTTGGTACATCGCAACATTTCCATCAACACTCGATCTATTATAAAGTTGGTAGAAATCGGACGATTTTTTCTGGTACTTCCCCCAAAAAAAGGGTTCAATATTTTGTATAATTACAACTCTTATAAAATGTGATGTAAGAATCCTATTGTCTTAAATTGTCACACATCCGAATATTTTTTAAAACCCAAGATCTGCCGGAAAGATGGAATATATCAGTCCTCCCCCACAAAAGGTCGAAATTTTGAATATCCATTAAGCTCATAAAACGCAAAATTACCATCCGATTCCATTTAGACTTGGCACATCTGAATATTTCCATCGGCACAAGATGTGTTATAATGATGGTAGAGTTCAGAATACTCCTCCTGGTACCTCCCCCACAAAGGGTGAAAGTTTTGAATAGCCAAAACGATTATAAAATCCGAAAAACACATAAAGTTCTCTTCAAATTAGACATATCACAATATTTTTTTAGCCCAAGGTCTTGTGTAAAGATGGTATATCGGTCTACTCCTTCTGGTACCTCCCCCACAAAGGGTCAAAATTTTTAATATCCATGAAGATCATAAAACGCGAAATGAACATCTGATTCCATTCAGACTTGGTGTATCGCAACATTTCCATCAATACAAGAGCTATTATAAAGGTGGTAGAAATCGGACGATTTCTTTTGGTACCTCCCCCACATGGGGTTTAATATTTTGAAAATTTTACACATTTTTGTTAACAAAGATCTATTGTGAAAATGACATATATCTGCGAACCCCTTCTGGTGCCTCACCCACAAAGGAGCACAATTTTCAATACCTTTTATCTTTACAACTTGCTATGTCTATACTTTGCTTTCAACCAGAAAATTGGATATAAAAATTCGATTTACTTGTATTTTTTCACACCGATATATTTATCTGTATTACATGAAGTATGGAAATAGAATTCTTCGGTCGACTATACCCGGTACCTCATCAAGTGATGAAAGTTACCAATTAAGTTCAAACCTGGCACGTCGAAATATTTATATCATTTTTATTTAGGTCCGATTCGAAATGGACAATATTGGCCCATTCTTTGAAAACTCACTCCATAGAGGGTTAGGAGTTTGGATAATCATAACAGAAGTCCAAATATTATTAAGTAATCGAACATTGGGTGAAGGTATACATCAGGCGGCAAACTGATCTATACTTTTTACATTTTTTTTTTTTTTTGCTTGTTTAAATATGGAGCTGACGTTGTTTCTCTTCTTCCAAAATCCGTAGGCAATTTTCGCACACATTCTAATTTTCAAATTAATCAAATTATTCAAGTGTATACTGAACCCTATTCATGCTGCTGCACTAGTCGAAGAAAAAACCCTAGATTACGGACCCTTTAAATTGAAATATTTGTTTCAGACATAGGGAGTTGGGGGTGGTAATATTGGTCCACTCCTTTTGGTAGCTTCTCCACATATGAACGAATTTTTAATTTTCAGCTCCCTAAAAATGCTACATCCCGGGTTTTCTTCAAACGTCGTACATTACAAAATTTCTTACAACATTAAATTTTCCAGAATAATGAAACCATATTTTTAGTACCATCCCAAAAAGGTTAAGATTTTCAAATAATCATGGTCATTTTGTGAAATTTCAAAAAAAAATTTTTATATTTTTCTTATTTTAGAGAAAATTTAAAAAAACTTTTATTCGCGCTAATTTTTTCGTTATTTTTCGAATTATGAAATTAAATATTTACAACAAGCAACCAATTAAATATTTTAACTTAATTAAAATTTAATTTTTATTGACCGGATTTTTAAATTCAAAATGAGAAAAAAGGGTCAATATGTTGACAACTGGTAAACATTTAAACACAGCAACCTATAGGTACTGACATTACCTACCAATAGTTTGTTTAAACTGCTTCACTGCTTTTTGTTGAAACGTATTTCTTGTCAAATATGCATCAAGCTAATATCAGGATTAATATTTAATTAATTCTCTATTAATCTTTCATTGTGTGTTGAACTACACAAAATTATTTGAAAATTTTATGGTATTTATTTAAAAAAGAACATTTTTTTATTACTTATTAATTTATTATTATTTTTTTTTTAATTCTAAAAATTACTAGTATATATTTTTTAATTTATATTTTACATAGTTAGGTAATTTTTTCACATATTTATTTATGCCTTAATTTTTCAATATTATTTTAATCTTTATAACATCTTTGTTTCCATTCAAATAATTTTCTTTTGGTTTGTTATTTTCATTACAATTTTTTTTTATTTTATTTATTTTTTATTATTATTATTTTTTAATTTTTTTTATTTATTTTTTATATTTTTTAATTTAAATATTTTTTCTTTCCTTCTTTTTTCACAACTTTTCACCATTAACACTTGTCAACTGGTCACTTTCATTCATTAACACAAAACTGCCGACGTACAAGAAGGACCACGACAATCGTAACCGTTGCCAAAAGCCAACCACTGCATGGCCAGGCGAGGCATGCAACATCAAAAGGAAAATACCGATGCGACACGGATCCACGCAAAGAGAGATTCGAACAAAACGCGTCCGTTATGTTCACAATTTAACGTGAAACTGATTTTGGATTTTGTGCTTCCTAATTTTCTACTTGTTGTGTGCGTGTGTGTGTGTGTGCTTGTGTGTGACAGACAGCCAGTCACATGCGAAGCATGCAGCCAGGCAAGCAACTAGCTAGCCAGCCACCAAGCAAGCAAGCAAACATGCACCGTAATTCCAGCAACATATCATCCGTTGCTTTTAAAGCTCTGCCAACGACTTTAAGCAGCAAGCGTTTTTAGCCATGTTCATTCGGTTGTGTATGTGTGTGTGTTTTCCTTTGGCCAATATGAATTGTGGAGCATGCTGTGCGCGAGTGCTTCACTTCGTGCAGTACATTCGGTTTGTTTTGATTGTTGTTGTTTGGCAAATTTCATTCATGATTTCAGTAAATGAGTTGTTTCGCCGAATGCCAAACAGCTGTTTTTTGTTTACAAAAAGTTGTTTTCGTTGTTTTGTTTGCAACATTTAATGTTGCAGCAACATTATTTAGTGTTAGTAGTCCAAAGACATAGCTAAATACTCTCGATGCATTCGATAACAATTATATTTGCTATCAGATATCTTATACAGCTCGGAAATACATTTGCCAAATGTTATCGGTTCAGATTTGGATATAGCTCATATATATCCTTAATCCGATTTCAGGTTTATTGTGTAAACAATGACTAATATCAGTCCGAATGGACGAATTTTGACTTTTCTGACGAATTTTGACTTTTCTGACGAATTTCGGCCTAAAAGCAAGTGCTCCTAATTTAGGTTGAAATCGGTTCAGATATACTTTTAGCCCTCACATGCGTAATATGCACTCCACTACAATGAAATTTGTTACTGATCATCAGATACTGCTCTAAAAAATACCTCTGCCAAATTTTATCGAGTTAGGTTCAGATTTTTTATATAACTTCAATATACACATTCATCGGATTTTACGGATATTGTTCCCCATATATGTAATATCAGGCCAACTTGAATAGATTTTTTTTCATATTTAACCGAATTTTACCATTTGGTGAAAGTCGGTCCGAAGTCATGTCATGCACTATACAGCAATGTTATTTGGTTCATAGTTGGTAGGATCTACTTCACATAAATTCCCAATATAAACTTTTTTGTTATGGGAGCTCTACTAAATACGCATTGTGGTGTTGGACATCATATAGTCGGCCCCTACCGACTTTTGACCTTTCCTTACTGGTTGGTATTGAAAAATGGCTATTTAGGGGCATGTTTTGGTATAGCCCTCTTATAACTTACAGACAGATTAAAGGTTTTTTTTGGGTGTATTAGCTACAATCTTAACCAGAATGTACTGTAAATAGGCAGCATATGTTCGCATCATGTTAGATACATCCTTGCATAGAACTGTACCACGTTTTGGCATATCCCCCATATAACGATACCTTTCTATATTCGACATTTTGATGATTCAAGCGACATTATTTACCGGAATTGTTTAAAATTTCGTATTTGAAGTTCGTAATAGGTGCTACAGCTTGTAACCGAAAATTGTTTATGCAGGTCCACGTCTTCGTATAGGTCCCATATAGTCCCCATTTTAATGGGTATAGGTATTACGTGTCTCGTTCTAACACCGTTATTTCAATGACCCTAGGTCTCTTTGCAACAAATCCAAAATATTTTACTGCGCAGAAAAAAAGGATAATCCGATTTTGCCACAACTTTGCTAATCCTAATATATGCATCAGTGCTAGGTCAGGTGCAAAAATGGAAATTATCTGTCCACTCCCCTACAAAATTTGGAATAATCACAACTCTTATGAAATATTATATAAGAGTCCGATTGTCTTCAAATTTCTAATATCGTACTATTTTTATTAATCCAAGATCTGCTGCGAAGATGGAATACGTCGGACTACACTTTCTGGAACCACTCCAACAAATATTCAAAATTTTGAATATCCATTAAGCTCATAAAACGCGAAATTAACATCCGATTCCATTCAGATTTAGTACATCTCAATATTTCCATCGACACATAAAGATGGTGGAGGTCGGACCTTTTCTTCTTGTACCTCGCCCACAAAGAGTCCAAGTTTTTATACCCTACACCACAAGGTGGTCAGGGTATTATGTCTTTGTGCATTTGTTTGTAACAGGCAAAAGAAAAAGAAGATAAACCCATAGTTCCTTTTGATGATCTGCATAGAATCACATTCTGAGCCGATTTATGCATGTCCGTCCGTCCGTCTGTCCATGTATTTTTGTAAACAAAGTACAGGTCGCATTTATTGCCCGATCCAGATGAAATTTTGCACAGATCGTTTGTTTGGCCCAAGGACGAACCCTATTGAAATTGAAGGTAATCGGCTAAAATTTAGATATAGCTCCCATATATATCTTCGTCCGATTTACCTTTTATTGTGCACCAAATGTGTAGTATCAGCCCGAATTGTATGGAATTTTGCATATACACCCAAATTAAGCCTGAAAAAAAGTATGCCAAATTTGATCGAAATCGGTTCGGATATAGCTATAGCTTCCATATATATTTCTCATCCGATTTGTTATATTTGTTACCCACAGCCGCAATATGCACTCTGAAACAACGATATTCAGGGAAATATATCAAATACAGCTCAGAAATATCTTTGCCAAATTTTATCGAGATCGGTTCAGATTTGGATATAGCTCCCATATATATTTTTATCCGATTTTAAATTATTTGTGCACCAAATGGGCAACACAAGTCCGAATTTAAAAGATACAAATGCTTCGGCATATTTAGTCCTTTGAACTTTAAATTATAATTATAATCATAGCTTGTATGATTGAATTCTCCCATAAAAACTGTTAATTGTTATGTGGAGCTCTACTAAATTAGTGGCAAAGTGGTGATGATACCCTATATCATAAAGTCGGTCCGCCCGACTTTAGGACTTTCTTTACTGGTTAATAACAAAAACGATTATATAAGCCGGAATAAACATCCGGTTCTCTTCATATTTTACACATCCCATTATTTCTACTAACGCAAGATCTGCTGTAAAAATGGGATATATCGGTTCGCCACTTCTGGTACCTCCTCCACAAATAGTCAACATTTTGAATATCTATGAAGCCCATCAAACGCGAAATTAGCATCCGATTCCATTCCGACTTGGTACATCTCAATATTTCCATCAACACATAAATATGGTACTGGTCGGACAATTTTGTCTGATACCTCCCCCACTCAGGATTCAAGATTTTGAAAAGCAAAACGCTCAGAGAAAGCGAAATTAGCATCCAACTCTCTTCAAATTTCACGCATATAAACATTTCTGCTTACACAAGATCTGTTGTTAAGATGATATATATCTGCGAACCCCTTCTGATGCCTCACCCACAAAGGGTCACAATTTGAAATACTTTTATCGGGTATAACATGCGAAACATGTCAGCTATTCTTTACAACTAGCTATATATAAATATTTCTTTCAACCAGAAACCTGAGATGAATATGGAATTTATGATTTCGCATAAAATCGGATATAAGTGTTCGATTTTCTTACTAGAATATGTTTGTGTTGTTATGTTGTAGTATGTGTGTTTTATATTTTCAATAGTTCCATGTATAGATTTGATTTAAACATTTCATCCGAAATTTTCAAATTTTTTTGACATGTATTTTCTTTTTTTATTATTTTAAAGTGCTGCTAACATTGTCATTTCCCATAGAAATGTTCATCTAAAAACTGCAAATACCATATTCGAAAGCGACAATACACAATGCTAAGTTTTCAGCCATTAATATTGAACTTTTACAACAGCAAAAATAATGGCAATGAAAACTATCTCACATTTCCTCCACTGACAACTACCCGCTTAAATATTTATTTTCCTCATTTAAATTGCAATTTTATGCGTTGTCGCCTATTAAATGCCAACTAAGTTGCGCTTTATGTGGTCATATCAAGAGACGATGATGAAGAAGAAAATGAAAACAAGCAAATAAATTCCTTGCGATATATGAACCAATAAAATTTTACTGAATTGCCAAAGCAAACAACAAAGTTGTAGGATTGGGTCATCAGCAGTCGCCGCACTTAAACAACATTACTTATCTTCAGCCACATGAAAATGGGTTTTAATTAAATTCCCACTGAAGTGGCCAGAGATAATGTAAAGACAACACTTGAAATGTGGTGGTTTTTATAAATTACTTTTGCAACATGTTGCAGACGAGACAAGAGTTGTGACAACATGTTATGAAAGAGAAAAAAGCTCTGTTGAGAAAGATTTAAGAGAGCACATTTATAGTTGTTACAGTGGGAGGAAATTAGGTATGACACCAAGATATAATATAAGCCAGAGACAATCATATTCCAATACGGGTATATTTATAAGAATATATGCAGTTGAAGACCAATATTTGTATAGTTTTTTAA